CATCGCAATGACTTATTTAGATGCCCGACTCCCTAGTGGAAGGAAGAGTGTCTCATTCACCAGCCCAGCCCACACTCAGCACATCCCAGGTCCCTAATCACCGTTTTGGGAATGAAGCCAACCCCCTCATTTGACTGATGAAGAAACTGGATGCTGAGCTGTGGGAGGAAGCCTGCAGAGTCAGAGGCCAGCCCACAAGTAAAACCTCCACTTCCTACTCACAGGGATCAGGGAATCAGAATTCTACCCTTTCAGTAAAGAAAAAAACAGTGTGTTTACTGAGCACCTACCATGTGCTAAGTGCACATAAGAGACCCCAACAGAGGACCTTAGTCCATTATTACAAAAATGAGATAATAGAGTGTGAGAAAGGGCATCACCGATGCTATATTGCTGAGGAAACCCCACTGAGATTGGCCTTGATGACCTTTTTGTTCTGGTGTCCCAGAATTTTGTACAGCAAATGGGACAGGAAAACATTTTCTTATGCAGGAAGAAAAAGGGAATTCATTCCTTGATGGACTCCCTCCTACAACAAAATGGAAATGAAAGGCCTCTGACAAAGACTAGACCCTTCCTACATGAGGTAAGGAGAAAGGAATCCAGAGAAAGAGCTCTGTGCAATCTGGAGCCTCCTGGTCCAGAGAACAAGTCTTAAATTAGAAGCCAGGATCCCTCCCAGGCAGTTTCCTTGATCGGTAGACAAGGGAGCATTTGTCCACCTCCCAGGTCATTTAGTGATCGAACATAAGAAAAAGACCCAGAGAAGCACCATGCCATACTCTCTATGTCATCAGCAGCTGATAGGCTGGTGAAGGCTGGCAGTCTGGAAGGTGGGGGGTAGGTCTCCTCCTGGGTGGACAGGGCAGAGTGAAGAGAGCTTTGAGCTTAGTAGAGACCACAGCTGAGTAAGGCAAAGACCTAGGACAGTGAGAGGAGCTGTGTGACTGGAGGAGACTGTTCCAGGGAAAAGTCAGATGGAAACCAGAATGCAGAGGGGTTCTTAGAGGACAGTACTGTAGCCAAATTGATACTGGGATTTCATCTTAGCTCAACACAGATAATACATAAATAGGTATCTGTGTCACCTTCAACTTTGAGAGTGGTGCCACCGTCTCCCTACCAAGACAGACTACTCTGGGGCAATGTCTTTGTAATCTCACCACCTGCTCGCTTCCCCTGGCCACCCACACCCTCACATTGGTCACAGAAAGTCAAGCTGTCATACCCAGAGATTTTCCAGCCCAAGCCCCTACTATTTATGTGAGAGGGCCCAGAGGGGAGATGACAAATCGAGATTTCCCCTCTCTCCCTTAGCCCCGTGTTCATGGCCACCACCATGGCTATCTGTGTTCCTGAGTAAAAAGTTCACAGGTCTTACCGCTTTACCTCACTCATGAACCTTCCCTCTGGGATCTTTACTACTTATACAATCCATGTATCATTTGCACCTCAAATCATTAATTGTTCAAATAACTGGCAATTCAGATGAGGACTGCGGGCAGAGGGTACAGCTGATACGGTTATACAACCCAAAGTGGGGTACTTTGGACTTTGGTATAACCGGGCTTATAGCCTTAGTTAGCCTCTTGAGATAGCAGCACAGAAGAAAACAATAGTAATTAAAGACACAGAGTGCTGTTAGGACCAGAGCACTCTTCATTTCTTGAGTCTTGCTGAAGAGACCTGGGGTTGGGAGGAAAGACTTCAATAGCAGCTCTACTGCTAACAAGGGGCTGGATGAGTCAGGATGCATCAGCTGCCCTGCTGGGCCTCAGTTTCCTAATCTGTAACTTGAGAGGTTTGCATGAGAAACCACAGGGTTCCCCCAGTTCCAGCATGGCAAAAGGAAACTTAAAGACAGAGTTGCTCAGTTTCCAGAAAAAGCTGACCACACAGAGTTGGCATGAGGCTGCCCCCAAATAAAACACCTCAAGTCCTCTTTCAAACCCTCAGTGCTCCCTAGTGGAGGCGGCCTGACCCAGTGTCTCACAGAGTCAGGGCCTCAAACCCAAGGCACAACAGTTGCTCTGAGGTGCTTGTTTCTAAGTGTTATTATGATTTGTGGCTGACGCTGCAAAGCCTGCATAAGAGTAGGATGGAAACTGATGAGCTGGTCAGCCATCCTCTCCTCCCTGGCCTTGCTGAATCACCCTTGACATTATGTCTGGAAGCAAGGGCTTGGAGGGGTGAGTGACCTCTTCAAGTCTCAGGCCAGGCCCGTGATTCTGTAATCTTTGCTTTACCATAATTAGGGACGGAGGCAGAAGAGTGGGAGGAGAAACCACTTATTACTTCTCTGGGGTTTGACAGCTTGGAAAAAGAATGAGAGAGAAACAGTGAAATGGCCAGGAAAGAAACCAGTCACAGTGAGTTTAACCTCTCAGTAAAATGAAAATGTGCTGGACACACCTCATCAGCTGCCCTCTGTCAATACAGGACCCATTTGGCAGAAGCTGTGGTTCCAATGGTGGTGCTGGTGTGAGAATGTCTATGAGAACAGGTTGAGGACCGCCGCTCTTCCCAAGGTGCTAGCTCAGGAGATCATCTATTATATAAAAAAGTACAGACAGTCCCCACACCCAGCCCTGAGCTTAAAGATGAAGAATCCAGCCTGTTTGTTCCAGGCAGATGCAATCACACAAGTCTAGAGGGCAGGACACTGCATGAATAATTCAAGCACTCCAGTCACTTGATTGTGTGTGCTGATAAAACACCAGTCAACCGCTAAACAGGTCAGCTGATAAACTTGTTTGCTCAGGCCTAACCACCATCCGCCAAATGCACCCAAGACCCACACTACAATTAGTGGCTGGATTTTCTTCTGCAGAAAGCTCACAAGCCAGGGAGTGGCCAATCCCTTTAGGTCAGGGTTGCACTTCTCCGAAGAGGTTTCTTCGCCTCTTTGTCTCTTTGTTCCTACACAGCCATTGGGTGATTCCACCCAACTCAGAGATTGCCATAAACCCTGCAAAGGCACAGCCTTCAAGAGCACACATAATCATGCTGGAAAGCCGATGGGAACTGAGGCTGGCAGGCGGAGGTGGCTGGGATTTGAGTACCAGGTCTACCTTCTTGGCACCACTGTAGCTTTCATTTCACCTACAAAAAGGGGACAGAGAATCTATCTGCCTCTGGCAACTGACAGGATTAAATGAGACAATGTAGCCAAACCTCAGGCATTCTCCCACAAGAACCTTGTTTGGAGAATGGTCAGAAGCCCCAGATGCATACAGCTGCTCTTTATACAAATCCCACCACCAAATGTGTTAAGGTGGTTAAATCTTCCCGAGTTCAGTGTCCTAAGGACTCTGGGAACAGCTTTGCTCTGCCAACCAAAGTAGATTTTCTGTGCCAAAGAACCATCCACTCACACACACGGGAGGAACACCACCCATTCAGACCTCAACATGCAACAACATATTACACCTTAATTATGAAGCTCTTAGAATAACTACTGCTATAAATTTTAAACCTGAATGCAATTACCCTCTTCAAACACACCCAAGATACTAAGCACTGAGGGAAAAAGAAGAGGAGGTATGGAAAGGGAGGAGGTGGCACCTTGCATAAGACCCCAAGGTCCATGAACACCTGGGATCCCAGTTCCACTTCATCCAATCTTATCACACAAATCAGAACCAGTCAGTTCCATCTCAAGTTGGGCAGAACCAATCTCCTGAGAAGAAACATTTTTACATACAAAGCGGTATCTGTTTATGATTTCTGTGGATCAAGAAGTAAAAACCTGGTAGGCTTCATGTGCCTTCCTAAAGCTCTAATCCCTCAGGAAGCCACAAGCTGAGTGCCCACATTGCTCAGTACACTCAGGCCCTTTCTGGCTGCCTTTCACCCTACTCTGGGGCTCCCTCCAGGAAGGAAAAGGAAAGTAAGATTCACAAGGCTCTATGCAAGCCACTGGAGCAGACAGGAATCTCGGAGCATTCCAGAGGTCACCTGCCCTGGGTCCTGCCTCCTGAAAGAGCAAAACGTTGTAAAGGGCTGTTAATTTACAGCAGAAAATCCATTCAAGTCACAGTCACCAAAAGCTAGTATGAGTCAAGAGCCTTCTGAAATTTCAAGAACACCAATTGTTAAAAAGAACAACAGGCCTGTGCCATTTATACATGCCAAGCCAAATTATAGGCAGCCTCTCCTTGGAACACAAATACACAAACAGTCCTCTCCCACAGCCCAGCCTCTCACCAGGGACTACTTACTGATATGCACTGAGATAAAGGGTGTTTGTATTTGCTCAGTCTGAGGTATACTGTTATTAGAAGAGTGACAATATGAGTAGTTTACATATCCATCAAGCAGCACCATACTAGCTAAACTGGTTTGACTTCAGGATTTCAAAGGTGAGCTCAACTCCCAGTCATCTCAAAAGTCCTTGCCAGGCTATCCTGGGCAAGTTACTTCACCTCTCCAGTTTACCTTCCTTCTCTGTAAAATGGGAAGGAGACTGCTTTCAAATTAAGAAAGAGCTGAGAAAGTTCTTAAATACAGACAGAGCATTAGGGTTTTATTTCATTCCGGTTATATTTTTAAGCAGTTAGTAACTTGTTCCTTTTCAGTTTTGACAGCTCAGCTTGGCTTTTAAAACTCTTTAAGTTAAATCTTATCAAGGTAGAATGTCACACGCGCACGCGCGCACACACACACACACACACACACACCCCTCCTGTATTTCCTCTTGAGAATTTTACATTAAAACAGATAGATGCAGCCAGCCACCTCTAGATTCAGGAGTTCTAAAGCAGATCCTGAAGATACAACTTTCCCTTTACTCCTTTATCCTCCAAGACCAGAACAAATATTGCAAGCCTGAACGCTCAATGTTTAAGAAATTAGCAAAGCCTGCATTTCAAGGACTAGATCCATTTTTTCTTCCAGGAGAAGTAGGAGAAAAAGAAGAACAAGGTCTCATTTTCAAACAGAGAGGCCATAAGAAACCATGTATTATATGTTTTTAAATTTTTTTTTTTTAAAACACTTACCTGCTTGTGCATTTCAATGTTCAAGCCATAGGACATCTCATAGTACTAAAAGTGAGAAGAACTACCATTAACAGACAACTCAGAAATCTCTCTGTTTTCCTAAATCAGCTTTTGGGAACGTTTTGGTCAAATTGTTCTTTCATGATACATTTGCTAAAGAAGTGTAAATCAAACCCCAGCCAATAATAGAGTAGTTTAAGGGTTGAACACCAGCAAGTGCTGTTCTCAAGAACATTATACATACAGTAGTCAGAGAAGCTGGGCCCTCCCTTTCACAAGCACATGTGCCATATATCCTGTTTATACAAGGTTCAGGTTCAACAGGGAATCGTGTGTACACTGGGACCCTCTTGTCCTCTGAGAGTTATTTAGCAATGTGTCGAAGGCCTCTTATGTGGAAAGCAGTTCAGGGAGGCGTTTAAGTGCTTTCCATGCCCTCTCACAGACGGATGATGTAAACTCGCTGGAACAGTCACTGGGAAAAGGGGAGAATGGCCATCTACTGCCCCAGGGCTGATAAGATACTTAGTTGGGAAATCCCTGAGAGGGCAGTGGAGGCTCTTCCTCCACTCAGAAATGTCTGGGGAAGGAAATGGATAGGAGGGAGGGCTAAATCCCTGAGTTGCAAAGTTTCCAAACACTCCCAAGAGGGCTCTATGGGAAATTTTTATCCAACCCTGACGTGGGGCCCTGTCCTACTCACCACGACAGGGCAACCAGCCCTCTGGGAAACCTTCAACACATGAATTAAAGGGGCACAAAGGTAGGGCAGAAATGCCGGGACTGGGGTTTGGGTTTCTCTTTCTGCTTCTTCTCTCGTTCACTCTCCTCCAAGTAGCCGGATGAAGGAGAGTGGGAAGGCTCAGAAGGCACACTAAGATTGCACCCGCCCCCAGGGCTCCAGTCGGCCTGCTAGGCCGCCCTCACCACCTCTCACCATCACATAATGGCGTTGCATCTCCGTCTTCTCGTTCGCCAGCTTGTCGTATTCCACTTTGAGGCTGCAAGGACAGGAGCAGCGGCTCAGGCCTGTGGCCTGCACAGCCTCCCTGAGGCCCCAACCGAGGGCCTCTGATAGCCACTTTTCCACTTCCCTAATGCCCCCTGGGTACTCTATTACCCCAAAGCCTCTGGATGAAGGGAGAGTGAAAAAACTAAAACTTCCAGCAGCCAAGTGAGGAGAGTGATAGGGCCACAGACAGGCAAGTCCCTGAAGCTGGCTCTCTACCCCCAGAACCCAGAGCGAGCCTGCCCAAGACTCTGGCCCTCATCCTGGGGACCCTGAATCCTGGGGACCCGGAGGGGTTGTGCGGGGAGCTAGGCGACTGCAGGCGGAGATGGGTTAAGGCAATGCACGTAGAAAGGGGAAACAAAAGGCAAAGGCCCGGCTACCCTGAAGCCCGAGGTCTGGAGATCCCACCGTCCCTCGGAGGAGCCACAGCAGGGACTCCCCCTTCCCACCACCCGGGGACGGTCCCCCAGGCCTTACCTGTGATATTGAGCTTGCAGAAACTGGAATTCGTCTTTGATCCTGTCACAAGACTCAGCCACTGTGAATTTAAATCCCGGCTGACCGGGTTGATGGGGAGCCTGAAGACCGCAAGGACAAGACAGGAAGGGAGGAATGGGGCAGGGGGAGGGGGAGATCAGCTGGGGCTCCAAGCGGCCTGGGCCCCTCAGTGGCCACCCTTGGCTTCCCCCCCATCCCATCCTCACCACACCAGAGAGCCACTCTCACAGACCCCCACCTTCCCAGCAAGTTTCTCAGCTCCCAGATGGGGCAGGAGGGGTGACACCCCAATATCTTCCAATTGGCTGCAAAGCTCCCATCTCTGTAATGGAGGGGTCCCCCATTCCAAGTAAGATCGGGACAGGGGAAACAGGAGGCTGAATTGGGAGACTTAGTTGAGGGAGCAGGGAACAGCATGAAAACAAACAGGTCTCTGGAAACTGGCAGCGCCCCTCCCACGGGTAGAATGCGCTCCTCTCTCAGAGGCACCCCCATCCCCTTTGTATGAGCGCGTGTGCCTGTGGACGCGGGGCGCGCGCGCGCGCGCGCACACACACACACACACACACACACACTCACACTCACATCAGATAGGTAGCAACAAGCAAAATGGAGGTGCCAGATAAACTGCCTCGTTTACCCTGCCATGATAGATGCTTAAATAAACCGAGTTGCAATTACTCACCGGATGTCTGCCTTGCGGATACATGGCAGGGAGGGGTCGTGATTCGCAGAGAGTGGAAGCGCCGAGAGTCCGGGCCAGCGAGACGCGGGGGAGGAGGGAGCCAAGCCCGAGCGGGGGGCGGCCGGCAAACCGAGAGCTCGCCCCCGGCCCCCCCAGCCCGCTCTCACAGCGAAATCCCAGAGTCGGGCGCCCACCCAAGCGGAGACAAAGAGCCGGGAAGCTGGCGGCAAAGTCGTCGGCGGGCACCGCGGTCGGGCTGCGGGCGCAGGCTTTGTGAGCCTAGGACTAGGCGGGCTGTGGCCGGCTGCCTTCGCCCTTCTGCGAGGAGCGCGTCAGAACCGGGGGCTGCGTGGACATGGTCTCCTCCCCGGCGGGTCCAGCACGGCTCCCGAGGCCAGGGCCCCTCCAGGGGCAAGCGTGGGTCCCTCCAATCACTGAGATGGGATGGGAGCGCCCCGGGGCAGACCCAGCATTGGTGGCGCTGGGGTCCAAACCAGAGGCCGGCGAGAAGAGGAAGAAGGCCAGCTCCGAGGCGGCGGGTAGGGGCCTCAGGAACGCTGGAGGCTGAGGGCGGGAGCCCGGAGCGGGCGCTCCGCCGCCCCCCCCTGGGAGAGGAGAGCCTGCTGCTCGGTCTGCTACTGCTGCTGCCGCCGCCGCCGCCGCCGCCGCAGCCAGCCCTTCCCAGGGCCGCGAAGAAAACTCCGGCTCAGTGGGTGCAAATCAGCGGACCTGGCATCTTAATTCCAGCGGCACCGAAAGCCTCCGCAAAAGGGTCCTCGCGGCTCCCCGCTCCGACGCCGTGTCCCCAGCGAGGAGCGCTCAGCGCCGCCACAGTGGCCTCGGAGCGCGCAGGCAGAACGCAGGAGGGAGACGCGGCCGGAGACCAGGAGCTGTGGCTTCCTTCCTTCCCCCGGCGCGGCCCTCCGCTCTGCGCCACGACAAACCCCCTAAACACCACACACACACACACACACACACACACACACACACACACGCCAAAAAGTGCCCCGGACCTGCGGATACCACACACAGACAGGCGAGGGGGTACAAGCACGAGGTCTGAACTGCCGCGAGAGCAGTTCCAAATAGGGACTGAAAAGTAACAAAATAATGTGGCAGCTTCTCCCCGCGCCGGCCAATGGGAGCGCAGGCCCCCACGTGGGGCCGCCGGACTCGGCCTGCTACTGGGCGCCGCTGGGCTCCACGTCACAATGCCCTCTTGTGTCTAAAACTATGCATGAAAAGTAGCAATCAGGCCCTACCCGCCGGTGGCTTTAGCTGGGGAGTGAAAAACAGCGCTCCTCAGATCAGGAATTAACCGAAAGACACATAATAAATAGATATATATGATAGCCTTGAACTGCTAGAGTTTTTCCCCCCACATTTTCCCCCTCAATCTACTAACAATTATTTGGCGAGAGGAAAGAGAGAGCAGGAATAACAACAAAAGGAAAAAAGACGAGCTGTACAGTCCTCAAAACCTGTGGCTGGTGTAATGTATCAGTATATTCTGCAGTGGCGGCAAACGATTCCTCCCTTTTAATCTCATTAGGTCTGCAGAGCAGCCCAATTAGATACTATAAAACAAACAAAATCACTTTGTCACTTTAATGTTTTCACTTCACAAGACGGAGAAAATGGTGGCTCCCAAAGTTGCCTCCCAACTTTGCTCGGAACTGAGGGTGTCCCTTTCTTTACTCCTCCTGCTTCCCCACCCCCCATGGCCCCCAGCTATTCTTTGTTCTTTCGTCCTTTTCGGAAAGCCAAATAACGACTTCTTTGATGTGCAACGGCTGCCTGCAAAGAGAAATCTGGGGGACTCTTGCTAGGCCGGCAGCTCCGAAGGAAGGGCCAGTTGCCCTGGGGCAAACAGCTCAATTCGCGCTGCCCCTACCGGGGTTCTCTCCCGCCGGGAACAGCGAGGCCTGGGCAGTAGGTAGGGAATGAGGTGGTGACCATGGCCCGGCCCGGGAGCTCGGAGTTCCGAGCGGGTGTCCTCTGCCTGTCCCACCAGTGTCACAGCGCCGCGGAGGGCCTGAGGAGGGGCGCGTGCAACCACGCGGGTTGCGGCCGCCAGCCTCCACGTCCCGGGAGACGCAGACGCTTACCCGCCCCCGCGCGACTCCGGGACTCCCCGCGCGGTCGCACACATCACTCACAGCCCTGCCAAGTGGCCCACACACCGCCGCCTAGCTCTCCCGCGCTCAGGGTTGCTTCGGGATGGACAGGTCACGGGGAAGCGACTCCAAGGCCGGGGCTGCCGCACCCCCTTCCGCGGGCGACTCCGCGTGGGCGACCCAGGTGGCCCGTGGCCCCGGCCCCTCTCCAGCAGCTCCAACCCGCGCGGGCACGCACGAGCCCGACGCGCGCCCCCCGACCTATATTTTCCCCTCATTAGGAGCCGAGTTCGCCCGCGATCTTAATGAGGAGCTGCTGGCGAGCGGGCGCTGGGAGGCCCGCGGAGTTACACGTGAGCGCCCGCCCGGAGCTCAACGTCCCCGCGCCCAGGCGCCGGCCGGCCGCCCTAGCCGCGGCTCCTCCCTTCATTTATTTATTTTCTTAAATAAAAACATGAATCATGTGCGGCGCGCAACGAACGGAGGATGGGGGAAAGCCTGGCTCGACAGATGCGAGAGCATCTCTCCGCAGTAGTCATTAGACACAAAATGGCTCCTCTTTGGAGCTTTCTTTCCCCTCCCCTTCTCTGCCCTCCCCCTTACGTCACGGGTGGGCGCACCCGCTTCCTACCCGCCCCGCCTCTTTCTGGCTCCTGCACCCACGTGGGGTCCGCCAGTCCCGCCCCTGAGCAAGGTCAGAATGACCAATAAGAGACCGCTAGGTCGACTCTCGGTTAATGATTGGTGAAGCTTCCTGGAGCTGTCAGTCCGAGCCAGAACTGTCAGTCAAAACCACGCGGGGTTGGGGAGCGCTGACAAATGCGGAGGCTTCTGAGCCTCCCGCTTGCAAATAGTGCTTGGAATGGCTGCTTAATTAGCTTTGAATGGCTTTTCCTTCCAGCTCAAACAATCTGTCACTACCATGTGGTATAAAGGAGCCATGCATAAAAAAGTAAGCAGAGGCTAAATATCAATTTGATTTTGTGTATCAAAGGAATATTTTATTTTTCTCCCTAGTAATGAAACGTATCAATTTAAATAATAAAAGGTAAAACACACACACACACACACACACACACAACCCCCCCCCCCAAAAAAAAAGAAAAAATAATAAGAAAGAAAGGAAGAGCAAAAGGAAAAGCATTCAAACTCCATGGTTCCCGACTTCTACACACGCCTAAAACAGGTAATTTCTACGCCCCTGTGCAAGATTGCTCTCTCCCTCACCCCCATCCCCACCTCTTAAACTTGTGTTAATTGTTTTGTTGTTGTCCTGAAGTCTAGAAGGAGTGATGGGGGAAGGGTGGCCAGTAAAGGGATGGGGCGAGGAAGGGGGCGAACTTTAAAGCGATCTCTTTGAAGCTGCTAATCAAAGTAGAGGGGAGTTTTAAGACCCCATAAACTGGGATCCCACAGCAGGTCACGATTTGGGAGACTAGAGGAGAAGGGGGAGAGTGGGTGCATCTAGCCCGGATTTATTAAGCACAATGCCTTCAAAATGCCAGGACTCGGTGCCTCTTCGCGCCTTCCTCTTTGGGCCTCAATCTGGACTGGCTCTGAGGGCGCCCGCCCCTAGTGGGCCCACGAGCTCAGGTCCCAGTCCCTGTCTTCGTGGACTGTGGAGCACAGCAGCTCCGTTTCGGGTTCGTGCGTCGCTCCTATCCCGACATCCATACTCCTGGGGACCCCAGGACCCAAGTGTCCTGCAGGGTAGACTCCCATCATGTTCATCTGTGAGCCTCAGAGTCAGCTCCTGGACTGGCACTTCAGTAGAGCCTGTAGCAGCATGTGATGGATGTGGCCTGGAGATTAGGAATTAGAACTGGGCCGGAGTGCTTATTATGTACAAGGCAGGGCACTGCTATCCAGGCTAGAACTCTCTCCTAGCCTCTCTCTTGAGGGAAGTGGCCTGGCCGGTAGCCCCATTTCATAGAGTAAAAAAAGGCTGAGAAACATCAATAATTTGCCCTATGTGGGACAGAAGTGTCAGTATTCTAGTCTAGGACAGCCTAGGACAGCCAACCTCAGTTTCCCATTTGCTTGCTCTAGCTGGATCTGAGGGACCATTTGCTGGGGGGGGGGGGGGGGGATGGCACTTATTCATGCATTCATATGCATTCATCCATCCATCCATCCATCCATCCATCCATCCATCCACTACCAGACTTGGCTTCCAGTCATTTCACACCCACCATCAAGTCCAGCTCTCCAGAGCGGTCTGAGCCCCTAACCTTAGGAGGAGGAGGAGCTGGGAGGTAACTAGGCCAGCACAACTTAAGTTCTCCACTGCTCTACCCCTACTTCCACACCACACTACAAATCAGGAAAAACAAAGAGAAAAATAATTTTTTTTTATGCTTGAGAAAGACAAAATGAAATAACAATAAATAAAAAAACACCATGTATATAACACCCTGTCTAAAGCTTTTGACAATTATTTTTAAAGAAGGAGGGAAGTGGGGAGAAAAAGTTCAAACATCTCTGTCTCCAATTCTAATTGGAAAGGTTTCAACTGTTTATGTTACAAAAAAGTGCCAGGGTCATTTGCTACCAGAGAGCAGACTTTTCATTGGTTGCTTAATTGAGTACCTGGGAGTCCACCCCACGTGGGAGAGGAATTCCTGGTGAGCCAGGCACACACACACACACACACACACACACACACACACACACACTCACACAGTCACACGGGTGAGTCAGAAAGTCCGGCCTGGATTTTCTGAACAAAAGCTTCCAGCCTCTCTTGGGGATGCAGGGTGAGTGGTGGGCAGCTGTTTGGCAGCTCCAAGAACTGCTGCTCTGGTTCTCTAAAAATCATTGTCAAACACTTTAGATAAATGTTAATAAATGTTTTCCTCCTTTCTCAGGAATTAAAGGGTTGGCTCAGGTCAGTCACCAGACTTATTGGAGGAAGGAATCCCAGTGCTTTGGGTGGGGATTGTATCTCTTCCCTTACAGCCTTTCTGGCTTTGGTTTTATTGTAGGTCTCTGGGAGGGACTGCCCAAAGAGAGGGGAAATCTCCCTTGCCCACCTCCTTTGGTTGACTGTAAGACTCCTGTGATTGTTGGCCTTTGACTCCATTGCTAGGGCAGTTCTGTCTCCCCACCTTCACCCTTACCACCCACCACTCACCCCAGGCCTTCCTTCACAAGCAAGCAACTCACCAGAGAGGAAAGGGAATTTTTATTTATATAATCAACTCTTACATAGTGCTTACTCTGTGCCAGACACTGTTCTAAACACTCAACAGACTTTAAAGCACTTAAGACTCTCACAGTGAATGAAGTGGGTACTATCAGTATCATTCGGATTTTATAGAGGAGCAATTGACATGCAGTGCTACAATGACTTGCCTAAGGTCACTTCAATGACTGATGGAATTGAACTCAAGCAATATGGCTCCAGAGTCTTCACTACCACACCCTAAAATCCACAAGCTTGACTTTTCCTGGAAATGCAGATCAGAGTTTTAGGACAGACTATAAGACACTGGAGGGCCCCAGAAAATCCCAAAGGGAACCCCTATAGAGCTCCATCTGGAACCACCTCATTTCAGGGAAGGCTCTGAAAGCTCACAGGACCTCTCACAGGGTCTCCCAACTTCTCTTCCAATTCTCTGGCTGGAAGCTGTATGACTTATTTAATCTTGCTAAACCTTTATTTCCTTATCTGTAAAGTGGTGATAACATTCCAGTCCACCTCATAGGATTGTTCTGAAGAACCATGAAGAGAACTTTTATGGTGTATTTAGTACAGAACCTGGTACATTAAGTGATCAATAACCATTAGCTTTGGTGGCTACGATGACGATGATGATGTGGAACCATCCAGTGATTCAACACCTTGCGCATGTTCTGGGTGCTTGCAGAGAGAGGAAGGTCTAATGTCTCAGCCCTTGTGGGGAATAAACCAGGCAGTAGCCCATCTGAGAATACCCAGCCCCCTCCCCTCAGCTCCTGCCTAGCAAGGCTCTCCTGTGTTCAGCAAGTC